TCACCTGAATATAAAATTTGAAATTATTGTTTTTTAAATAGGGGCTGAATAATATAATCTCCAAATTTCTTTACGATCCTAATATTGTATATTTATTCCTTTAAACTGACCTCCCCCTTCCAACTTCTCAGTATGGCAATGATATCATTGCCATTGCCATATTCAATTGAAAACATCTCATCCTTACTTCCCATTCTCACTGTCAATACCCTAACCAGACCCTTATCATTTCCTGTTTAGATTATTCCAAATTACCCCAATTTGGCTGACCTGACTCTAGTATCTCCCCCCTCCTGTATATCATGCCCAATGTTATCTTTCTTAAATGTGGTTTATTTTCATACTTTATTCATTTGTTCTAAAATTTATTTCTAATTCCCAGAGCACTAAGTCTAAATTGCCTGTCATTCAAGTTATTCTCCAACACTATATATTCCAATCGTCTCTTCAATATACCTCTTACATAAGACAGTTTGAACGTTTCACTCTTCTCAGACTCCATGCACATTGCTACCAATCCAGCTTTCCACATGTACCCTTCATGTGAATTATATATAAATGTTCATTTTCTGCCCAGAGCCCAGATCTCAATTCCTCTTTGAGTCCTTACCTATCTAATTTATTTCAACATGTGTAACTCCTTCGCCACTTTCACCCATGCTCTACTCTCCTTATTCAGTATACTCTGTTAGATATACTGTCCCTTCTTTTAATATGTTCTTGAGTTAACTGTCATATCAGAAATGATCTGAAAACCAGTTACTACAAAGCATGGAAAGATGTATTTTATTCATTACAAAATCATAACTCAGAGATTTCTAAAACAGACTTAGTAAAGAAGGTATTTCCAAGGCACGGTGACTTTTCTGGAGTCCTTTAAGATTACTCATTTATTTATTGGAAATCAATGGCTTTCAGAAATAGATGTGTTGATCTGTGCTGAGACAATATGTCCACATTCAATTGGAATTGAATTAATGTCAGCAAGGTGCCTTAAAAAGAGAAAGAAGGCATTGGATTGGGAAACAGGAAACCTGTGTTCACTTCTAGGCCCAACACTGTCACAGGTCTCCTGTTTCCCAATCCAATGCCTTCAACTGTAGGATATGGGACAACTCAATGAATCTGTCAAAATGTTTTCAGAAGAGTACATCATTAACTAAGGAGCTAAGAAAGGAAATTTTCTGGTGCACTGCTTTAAGAATCTAACAAGTTTGTAAGAGAAATTGTCAGGCAATACATAGTGAGTTTTGTAATGTCTCAACAACAAATTTCTGTGTATAATTGTACTATACTTATAGCCTATCAAAAATCATGAAACTTCTAATTGTCTTTTAGAAACAAAACAGCTTACAGTACAAATAAAGATATTCGTGTAGATTTCCAAAAATTGTTTATCCATTCATTCAATAAGTATTAATTTAGTGATCAGTGTGCTAGGCCTTGGGGATATGGCAGTGAAGACAAATATAATAAAAGTTATATCTGTCTTCAAAGAGATCACTGTCTAAAATTGGAGACAGGCAATTAAAGGGTGATAAATGCCATAATGGTGGTAAGCACAAAGGGGGCCTCTGGAGCACAAAGAGGACAAGTCTGTTCTAAACTGACCTTTTGAAGAGAGAGGTGATTAGGCAAGGCTATTCCTACAATAAGTAACTGGTAGGCCCTTGTCTAAAAGATATAGGTTAGGAAGCCATTTCAGGAAAAGTGAGCAGGATATTGAACAGCAAAGGACTACACAACAATATGGAATATTCAGGAATATTATCTTAGTCTGATTGGGTTATGTAACAAAATACCTTTGAGTAGATAACTTATAAACAACAAAAAATTATTTCTTACAGTTGTAAAGGCTGGGAAGTCCAAGATTAAGGTGTTAGCAGTGTCTGGGGAAGTCCTACTTCCTCATAGACAGCACCTTCTCACTGTGTCCTCACATGATGGAAGTGGCAAGGCAGGTCTTCGGGGCCTCTTTTGTAAAAGAACTAATCCTATTCATGAGGGCTCCACATACATTATTTCATCACCTCCCAAAGGCCCCACCTCCTAATATTATCATATTGGTGGATAGGTTTTAAGATAGGAATTTTGGAAAGACACACATATTCAGACCATAGCATTTACCAAATAATTTTTAAAAGTTAGAACAAAAATCCCCGAAGGGATTTGCAGATTGTTGGATACTGTGGTATAGTGGTTAAAAGTACAAGCTCTGGAATTAGTAAGCCTGAGTTAAAATCTGGACCTTGGTTTCTCATTTTAAAAATCAGTATCACTTATAAATAAACCTCATAGATTTGTTGTGAGAATTAAATAAGTTAAAACATGTAAAATTCTTAGAACAGCACCTGGCACAGAGTAAACATGTTCCCTGCCCACTTGAATGTCAATTCTAGGAGCACAGGAAATCTAGCTGTTGAATTACTAGCCTTTAATGAGTGACCCATAGTAGGTATTATTGAATGAATTAATGAATGAATGATCATCAATTTAACTTTTTTTGTCCTGGGTGTCATCCTAAGAAGTGAGAAGGTTGAATAATCCCAATTGTTTTCAATGTTGCCTTAATATAGGCCCACAGAGTAAAGGAGGAAAATGAATTAGGCAACCCAGCTATTCAACTTTAAAGCTAGACTTTAAAAAATAAAAGGACTTCAAATCGAAATCATCTCTTGCCTCTCTTATGGGTTACATTAGAGGAAGAACAATTTCTTAACATTCATAACTACTATTCATGGAGTGCTTGCTATATGCCAGGAGGTGAATTGAATTGCCTAAAGTGAGGTAGCTCCTAAGCTGAGGAGCAAAAATCTGAACGCTGATCTGTTTGACCTGAATCTAGTTAGAACAGTGCTTGACACATAGTTAATGTGCAATAAATATTTGTTGAATAAGTGAGTGAATAAATATATCAGTAAGTATATTTTCTTCTGTAGATGAACCTACAGTTTAGCTTTAAGGGTTTTCATGATCTTAATAACCTCAAGCCCATATTAAGAGTAAGGAAAAGGTGTGAGCCACAAAAGAGAATTTACATAGGAAAACCTCTTGACTAGAAATTCCAAATGGGAAAAGAGATCTGGATTTGTTTAGAAATCACACAAACACATACACAGGCATGCATGCACACACACACACACACACACATACTTACATACATGTAATCACAACCGTTTGGAGCACCTTCAACACACACATACACACAGGAGCATGCAGACCCACACAATTGTACTTTTTTTCATCTCATGCTTTCTTTTGTCTTCTTAACACATCTGAGAGAGGGTAAATGATGGAGTGTCAGAGGTGGAAAGGACGCTAGCAGTTACCTAATCAGATCCCTTCATGTTAATGTAAAAATTGACACTCTAGTGGGGAAGTAAATTGCTAAGGTCACACAAGGAGTTAGAATGAGATTAAGAATCTCAGTTTCCTGACTCACAGTTTGTTTTACTCTGAACTGTCACCATTTACCATCTCAATTTTATAGATGAGGTAACCAAAGCATCCTAAGAATGTTGATGGCCAAGCTCCTGCCACTTGTCCATTGAAATAGGACTTGAAATCAGATCTCCTTTATTTTAAATATAAAGCTTGCTGTCATCCAAGTGCTTCTGTCTGGATGCCCAGAAGAAAGATCTTTTCCTATTGAATTAAATAGTGGACTGAGGGTAATTTACAGAAAGCTTTGTCCTTGGCTTTAAGAGAAAATGTCCAAGGCTGCTTTATTTTCAGTCCCAAGGAGGCTCCATGAAGGCAGGAATCCTGTCTGTCTTCCTTATTGAATCCACAACACCTAGCACAAAGGAAGGCATTTAATAAACATTTGTTGTTGAGTGCATGCCATGCTAAAGGAAAAGTAGGTTGGGTAGTGTTTCCCAGTGGCAATGGATGGACAATCATTAGGGCTGAAAAGTGGGAACAGATGAGTAAAAGAGGTGGGAGAAACCCTTAAACAAAGGAGACGCTCTTTCTCTTCATCTTATTGAAGCTGCAATCACTCGGCACAGGCTGAGTAGATTGGTAGAAATATGACTGGCAAAGATATTTAAATGAGACCTCCTTAAAATTGTTACTCTCCACTCCACCCCCATTTTCCTTTAAATTTTGTTTCAGTCATTACCCAGGGACAGGATACAGAGATTCCTATGGGGAGTTTTAATGGGTCTATTCAATTTCATCTGGATGACGCCACTTAGGCAAGCATTAAGAGCTACAGCTCCGGGAAAGCAAAAGACACAGAGAGGGGGAGAGAAAGAAATAACAAGGAGCAATAAATCCCTTCTTTCCCATCCTTCCCTATAACCCATTCACAAGACCTCCAGAAATCATCTACATTCACAAAACAGCCGGTTAGCTAAGCTGAACACACTACAACCTCACTCCCTGCCCCCACTGCAGATTCTATACCAACACACCCTGAGCCATATAAATAATCACACACTGTCGGTATCTATTGCTCCGTAGAGATACCCTGTGTCTACAACTGCAGTTTCTGCTGCTTCTGTTCATCTGTCACATTGGAGGAGAGGGAGGCCGAGGTGGAGGCGGAGGCGGAGGCGGAGGCAAAACAGAAGGAGGGGGAGGAGGTAAAGGAGGAAGCAAGGGAGGAGGGAAAGGGGAGGGCAAGAGGAGGGGAAGGAAAATACTGTAGGAGGAGGGGGAAAAGAAACAGGAGGAGGACGAGAAGGGGGAGGAGAAAGAGGCGGAGGAGGAGGGGGAGGAGAAACAGGAGAAGGAGGAGGAGAAAGAAGAGGAGGAGGAGAAAGAGGAGGCGGAGGAGAAAGAGGAGGAGGTGAACAACTTACCCTGCTGAGCTTTCTTTGGGAAATACGTGCATCAAGATTTAGATCTGCCTGTAAAATCTATACAAAGTATATGCCACTACAGGTCTGACTCGCCCCCTCCCCCGTTTTTTTTTGGGGGGGGGTTTTGTTTTGGTTTGGTTTTGGCTTTGGTTTTTTATTTTTATTTTTTCTGTTTTCTCTGCTGTGTCAAAGAACAACACAGAACTATCTCTGTTTCTGGCTCCACTGCCTGCCGGTGAAGGAGTTTTCATTCAGACTTTCCGAAGAGAGGTGGAGAAACCTGAAGACTCAGGAGAAGAAATCCTTTGAGCCAGATGGGGCATTAGTTCTTCTGCTTTTTTCTCAGCATGGATAAACCCTTTCCTCAAGGTAAGCCATAAAAATTAGCTCTTAAAGACCCCAGAATTCTTTCTGTGCAATGCACAGATTGCCATTCATTCCAGCCATCCTGTGCTGTCTCTGTGTGTGCGTGTGTGCGCGCGCGCGCCTGCGCGCGCGCGCGCAAGCGCATGAATAAAATAAAAACCCTTTAAATCATATTAAAATAAATCCGCTTTTGCAGAAAACTATCCATATTGGAAATGTGTTAATCAAAATAGAATTTCAAAATAGTCTTTTTGTAGGAGAATGTCAATTTAATCTCTAACCTGTTAACCTTTAAATGCATTTTGATACTTGTCTAAACCTCTCATAACGCAGCCTAACCACCCAAGCTGAGGACAGAGAGAGAACCCGTGCTAAGGCCAGTCTGGCTGCCCAGCGGGCATCCTGTCAGCGTGGAGCTAGCCTGCTATTGGCTCACAAGTCTGGGCTGTGCATCGTTCAGATTTCATCACATCACCTTGCCCTGGGTAGAAATGGCGCAAGCTGACACGGCATAACCCCCCACTTACATTGAGTCAGAGCAATGATTTAGAAATCTCTGGATCCGTGCCTGGGTACGTGTGCACATGTCTCTGTGTGGCATATGGAAATTTTGTCAAAAGTGAGAACCTGTGAGCATGTCTAGTTAGCCAATAGGCATTTGATAGGACCTAAGGCAATGGTTTACTGCACACTCACTTCCATGGAGCTAATTATAATTATCATTCGCCTCTGCATGCTGCAAACCAAGTTGGATGAACAGAAAACAAACCTTGAACTCTTAAGCAGAAAATCTGTTTTGAAATGCAAACTATTGTTGCTTTTCTGGGAATATTAAAACCTCGCGGTAACATGATGTGTTATCACATGAATTTGGATATACCAGGTGTTAAATCATGTTCCCAAAAAGTCAGCTGCATTCATAAATACAAATAAGACACAGGCTAGCAGTTTATCCACAATGAAATATTGGTCTTGCTCTCTTTGCCTCTAAACAAATATATACTAAGACGTTTCTATAATGTTCTATATATTTTGTCTCTTTGTGTTCTGCTTTTAGGTCTCAGTAGCTGTGAAACAGTCTAGATAGTGATCTGAGTTACTTGGATTTGAAGATATTTATTAAGAGTTGAGGACTTGAGTAGTGAGGAAGTAAAGAACCTAAAGGAAAAGAGACTAATTCTTCCTGAAAGACTTTTGCAACAGAGAAATGCAACTAACAAACTCAACAAAATTTAGAGCATCTGGATAAGAAAAGCCTTTAAAACCCCTCCTTTTATACTCCCTCATTTTGCTGATGAAGAAACTCAGGATCAGAACAGAGGTCATTTGTCTACAGCCACACAGCAAAGTAGAGCAGCATTAGGACTAGAACTTAAATTTCTTGTGTCATATAAAAGGATTTGGGTTTTTTAAAAAGATTCCTACTTCTTAAATGAACAACCAGCTTCTTAGCGTTTTCCTCAGAATTAGAAGTATGTGAACTCATTTGGTATTACAATTTTTCCCTGTATCATTCATCACTAAAAGACCTGTATCTTTAAAAATTCAAGGTCTTAAAACTGCAAGACTCCCTGGTTTGAAATAAACTGCTACGAGTCTTAATGAAACCTTTAAAGTAATGAATAGGACTAGGGTAGCAAAGTGTCAAGTTAAGAGTTAAATGTGGTGAGAACCTGGCAGCTCCAGCAAGATGTATGTGGTAGGAGGGAGGCCCAGTCAGTGGCAGAGAGGTTAGTAATGTAAACTATATACAACTTGGTATTTGTAAGGGGGGAGTGCTTTGATAGAGATGCAAATGCTTTTGCACAGAGAGGGATTTTTAGAGAGCAGACTTCGGAACAGTAGAACTAAGAAAACATATAACGCCATAGCAGAAATTCCCCCATGTTTGCTTTCAGTTATTCTGAGACGGAGTGTATATAACAGCAGAGCATAGAAAAAATCAACACACCTAAGAGCTGTTACACAGTAAGGTACAAAACAGCATTGAACCCATGGGAGTGGGAGAAAACAGGAGCCAGGCTCTCCTCTTCCCCCCTCTTCTTTGAAATCAACATTGAGTCATACTATATCAGAAAGGATTTACCATAGAAATCAGAACTGTCTTAAGGTGTTGGCATAGAAGGGCTTTAGATAGGAAAGTTTTCAACTTTATTCTCAACATGGCAGACTTTAGGTTCCAGAGAGAAAATACATTTTCTTTCATTAACAAACATTAGCATTTCTTGAATGGGCTTAGCTTTCTAGTCCCTAAATTGGCATAAGAAAAGAATTTTTTTTTTTTTTTGGTTGAACATGGCAATTTCAAGGCTACAGAAAAACTGTTTAGAAAGCTATGAGCACCTGGCCAGAAAGACTGGGATGGGAGTGGGTTTACAATGCATCATTCATTACTGCAGAGGCACTACGTGACAAAAATCACTAGATCCCATCAATGTACAGCCAAGACCTGTAATCACCTTTGTTCTTAATAATATGTGATGTGTACATCCTCTCTCTCTCTTTCTCTCTCTCTCTCTCTCTCTCTCTGTTTCTTTCTCTCGACAGAATATGGAATTGACCAACTGCACAGTCAGTTTCTTAACTGTTGCTCACAATGAATGGCTCTTTAATGGGTGGATTTCTGAATCATAAACATTCATGTAGTGGTAGTTTTTCATCTAGTCTATGTGCTGCGGCAGTGTCTTGCCTGTTCCTTTCTCAACATATTTTCCCTCATACCTTCCTGTACAGTATCTATTTCAGTTTATCCCATTAGCCAGATCAGATTCAGCACGTCTGGAATGGCAGACAATTTATTGTCATTCAATCCTTAAATCCTACTCAACACGCTGATTTTATTCAGGTCCTACTGCCAACTTCCACATTAGATCCCAAAGTCTATTTGAATAAAAGATTCTACAGAGCATGAGGAAACCTTCTAAGTTCATCCTGTCAGTCCCCGTACCTGTAGGCAAGACAGTACATCATCATTTTAGACTGATGCCCACAGCTTCCTTTAATCATCCAACCAAGCATCTCAACTTACCAGTCTTGCAGAAATCTAACCAATATTCAAATACAGGTTTTCAGCCTAAACACCATGTACCCTTCTGCTCTCCAGACAGGATCCCCTTTGAAAATAATTCTCATTATTTGTTCTGAGTCATTTATATTATGACCTAGATTCCTCCCAGCTTAGCTTTCAACCTTCTGGGCATGTCCCTGAGGTGCCTAGTGACATCCCTGGAATCCTGTCTTTGGAATCTCACCTGTTTATCTCCTGTAACTTTGAGACCTTATAAACCTTCCTTTAAATCATTGCTTCCTGGAATTTTCAATATGTTTTGAATCTAGTTTCCTTTGGGAAATCAATGAGTCTAAATTATATTCGGCATGTATATTACTACAGTACAAAGGACTTGCAGGGCACTACATATTCTTTAGATGATCAATAGGACATAAATCTATTTCTCATAAATTTGTCAGAAGACTCTCCCAGTCCCAAGTTCCTACATTTACTACCCTCCAAGCCAAATGAACAATGTGTCCTTTTTTATTTGGGTGTGTACATGAAAGCTGCCTGTTCCTTTCCAATTCTGAGACTATGAATCTATAAAGATACAGCAAAGATAGAGGTGGCAGGTTGCATGAGCCTTGGAGTGCAAGTAAATAAAGGAAACATACAATTTACTTTTGAATGCCCAAATAAATAAAGGCACATTGCCCACCTTACTGCCAAGGACTTGGAGTGTAGAAGGTATGGATGCAAAGAATTATTTTGTAAAATTGTGTAGTTATAGAAAGAAATACAGACCATAATGGGTCAAGGTCCTTCAAGATCACCTTGTTCACTTCACATATATATCCTTCAGTTTCACATAGGTGGTGAAACTGAGGCCCAAAGAAAGCAAGTGATTTGACAAAAATGACATAAGTATTTGAGTCTGAGAGTTTCTGTAATTTTTATTTGCGTTCTTTTGTGCTGCATTTATTTAACACCAAAACAACTAGGTAAAAAGTGAGATTTTTGTCAGACTGGTTGATGCGATGTGCCAAAAAGTTATTTTTAACCAAATTAAATATTTTCAAAACACGAACAAATGTAAATTCAGCTAATCAGATTTACATGAGTATATAGCCTTAAAAGTCAACTGAGTCTGGTCATATTATTAGCCACTGAGTCCTTTATGAACTGTATCGTTATTTTTCCTGTTACTGAGCTTTGGGCCCATTTCAGTGTCATGTTTGCTTGCTTATGAAAACCTAATCAAGCACCATCCCTCTCACTTGTTCATTTCTATTATTCATTCAAACTATCCATCACATACAGTAGTATGAATAACTGATCTATTTTGAGGAGGCCTGAAAGTTGATGGACCTCAAATATATACTTTATTTATGCTAGTGTTTGCTAGGTCCTAATGCCTCCAGCGTGTTTCCTGGATTTGTGTTGAGGTTTCCTCATGTACACATTTTTTGGCTCTTCAGTCTTCTAGGTGGCGTGATACTGCAGTCCACTATTTGTACAATATTTTCCCCATGGTTATCATTATCAGCTCTAGGCTTGGTAAAATTCTTCAGGGAGTGACCAACCACCTCTTCCTGATTGTGGTACGATGGAAATGCAAGCATATGTTTTCTAGATATTCAGCCTAGCTTAAATATGGTATAAGAATGTCACTGCTCTTTAAGAAAGTCAGTTTATTGTGTAAGGTAGTGATAGAGAAAAGAAGTCCAAGCAGATTCTGCTTGGTAAGTTCCATCAATACAGAGTTGACTCCAGGTAGCGATAGGTATAATTACAGATAAGTTTTGAAATAATTCAGGACTTGTCTTCTGTAGTTCCTTGATCCCCAGTATTACTCCCACATGTACAAAAGTTTGATTCTGGAGCCACCATTCCATTTAAAAAGAATCACCTCCTTAGTAAGTTAAAGCAGCCAATAAGGTGAGGAGAACTGCAAAATGATTAGTCTTGTCTTCCTTTTGCTGTTGAGAAGTATTTTTTTTTTTTTTTTTTTTTGCCTACCACACTACAGACAGCTTAATTCCTGCCCTCTGTGTATTTGCTGCCTTTATTGCATTCTCCTCGCTTGCCTGTATTCACTGAATCAAGTAATGTCCTTTCTCATCTGTTTATTTCTGCTTATCATCATAAATTACACTGAAAAGATAGTTTTGATTGGTTATGTATATACATACATACATATATATATATATATATATATATATATGAGCAACTTCTCATGGGAGACTTTTGAGGCTTTCCCTTCTGCTTCAGCATTGCTTCAGAAAATAGCCTTTGCATTTAATATTATGTTCCACTTGTATTAGAATTCTGATGCTCAAGGATTAGATGTCTCTGCCAGCAAATACCTGAATGAGCTAGCTGCTACTATAAAACTAGGCATTTGATGGAATGCAAAAAGAATCAACTATCTGATCTTTGTTCCCAAACTTCTTTATAGTCTGCATGGGATGATCAGATTTGCCCATAGAGAGGTAGGTGAGGTTAATTGCAGAATAAAGGTGTAGCATGAAGGCTACTGTAAAGTAATTGAAGGTAGTAGTGGTGGTGATAGGGCCTGAGCTTTTTCTTGCAAAGAACTTATGCCTGTGTGTTCTCATTTACTGTTTTTATTCCTTGTCTCCTAGGATTTTTTCATGTGCCCTGAGGTCCATGTAACTGCAAGGGCTCCTCTTTATCACCATAAGTGCCACCCTGACCTAAAACCACTCAGAGCTCAAAAATCAAGTCAAAATGGATGCTGCGGTGACAGATGATTTTCAACAAATTCTGCCTATTGAACAGCTGCGCTCTACTCATGCTAGCAATGACTATGTGGAACGGCCTCCAGCCCCCTGTAAACAGGCCCTCTCTAGCCCTTCCCTTATTGTGCAAACCCACAAGTCTGATTGGTCTCTGGCCACCATGCCTACTTCTCTCCCCCGCAGTCTCAGCCAGTGCCATCAACTGCAGCCCTTGCCTCAGCATCTGAGCCAATCTAGCATTGCCAGCTCAATGTCCCATAGCACCACTGCCTCTGATCAAAGGCTCTTGGGCAGCATTACACCCTCACCTTCAGGCCAATCCAGCATCCGAACACAGCCTGGAACAGGGCCCCACCCAAAGGCTGATGGTGCTCTGAAGGGAGAAGCTGAGCAATCTGCAGGGCACCCCAGTGAGCACCTTTTCATCTGTGAGGAGTGTGGGCGCTGCAAGTGTGTCCCCTGCACAGCGGCGCGCCCTCTTCCCTCCTGCTGGCTGTGCAACCAGCGTTGCCTTTGCTCTGCTGAGAGCCTCCTTGATTATGGCACTTGTCTCTGCTGTGTCAAGGGCCTCTTCTACCATTGCTCCACTGATGATGAAGACAACTGTGCTGATGAGCCCTGCTCTTGTGGGCCTAGTTCTTGCTTTGTCCGCTGGGCAGCCATGAGCCTCATCTCCCTCTTCCTACCCTGCCTGTGCTGCTACCTGCCTACCCGTGGATGCCTCCATCTGTGCCAACAGGGCTATGATAGCCTCCGGCGACCAGGCTGCCGCTGCAAGAGGCACACCAACACTGTGTGCAGAAAGATCTCTTCTGGTAGTGCACCCTTCCCCAAGGCCCAGGAAAAGTCTGTATGACCTTCCCACAAGGTGGATTCAGAGCTTTTCTCCTTCTAGCCCCCACCGGTAAAGCATAGGCCTCATCTTTGGAGTGGGGGAGGAGTGAAAAACTAGCCAAAGTTAGGGCCTCTCCTCTTTTGTTCCTGCAGTGTCAGGGGAATGACCAAGTACATCCTGGTGCAGGATGCCTTGTTCTTTCTCATAGTATCTATCCCACTCATCTTCAGTCTTTTTACACCCCGCCAGCTCAGCCCTTAGGGCTGTCATGGCAAATTCAGGTGATATATAGGTATGAGGTTTGAACACTGAGGACTGACAGGGCCAGCAACGTGGAGGTTTAGGGGCTCCCCAGTGTAATACCTCTCGATGCAGGCTCTGATCGTCACTCTGTTTTCCACTGTGCCTTTGGAAGCTTTCTTCTAATATGGTTTTCACAGGTATATGTGGAACAGCGTTCAACCTTCCAGGGAATATGACTCCTTCTCCCTGTTACTGCCCTTCTCTTCTCTATTCCTCTCTCCTCTTTATTCTGTTCTGTATTCCTTTCCCCTTCATTCTTACCTTCTCTACTTTTACTTTTTCTGTTTCTTCCTCCCTTTTTACCTCTCCCCTCCTTTTTCAGACTGGTCCTTTCCCTGCCTGTATTTCTATCTCATTTCATCCATATTTGTCTCTCTCTACTTGTCCCTCTTCCTCTAACATGTCCAAAAGTGCTGTTTTTCCATATATGTTTCCTTAGACACCAAATTTTGCTATGCTACACTATTTACTAATTTTTATTAAGGGAAATGGATTACTGTAATGAACTGATCACTAGCAATAGTCTGTATCCCGATGTGTGTGTGTGCTCACAACCACTCTCACCTGTTTGTGAGCACATGAGGCAAAGTTATCTTACATTTCCAGGTTTAACTAGTTGGAATTTTTCTCCCTGTCTCAATAATCAACTTATCATACTGACAGATTCCACTAGCATGCTGAGTAGGATAGCAAATCAGGATGCTCATAACTTTGTATGTCTGACCCAAGTGCCAAAGGCAGACGTGCTTTATAGCTAAATGAACAAAGCAAAGGATATTACAGAGGTATGTTCTCTCTTAGAAGCTAACTGCCCTGAGACTGCATGGCTCAGGCCTTAATAATGGACATAAAAAGTCATAAAACGTTAGAGCTGGAAGGAATCTTAACTATTAATCTAGTTCAATTCCCTTATTTTACAGATGGGAAAACTGAGGCCTGGAGATAGGAAGGGACTTGCCCAAGGCCACACACTGAGTTAACAGCAGAATTGGGACTGGAATACAGGCCTTCTGACTCTTAGTTCATTATTCTTACCCCTGTACCACAGTGAGTCAGGGGACTTTTTCCTAGGGCTCTATTAACAGTGACAGAAAGCCATTCCCATTCAATAGCTTTTCAGGAACCATGCCAAGTTAGTGTGGTGGTCTTTCTCCAGTGCATGGTGGGTAGCTAATTAACTATCAGGTGTTGATGCTGCCCCCAGTGGACATCACCTTTGGCTCTGTCACCTTGTAGAAGCTCAAGTGTGGAAAAGAAAACCTTAAAGAAGCCCTGACCAAGCTGTATCTTCGCCATTGCATCTACTCTTTGCTGCACACACTGTGCTTGCTCCTGGCTTTGTCTGCAATGGCAGCTGCCTGAGAACTAAAATTTCAGCAACAGTGAAAAATTGAGATGAACGATGTATAATTCAGAGAACTGAATTCTCTCTTAAAAAACAGAGAGCCTGTGCTGTGAACCCCCTTCAATGGGAAAACGCTGCAGTGGTGATGGCAGGCTCCTAAAGACTGCTGCTGAAAGACACAAGAATTATACAGTTCCTTTCTTTAAGTGAATCCAAAATTCACTGAGGAATTCAAAGATTGAGGGCACTTGCTTGAAATCAAGGTGCTCCAACGTAGTTTAAGACCTCCAGACTCTAACTTTATAGATCATCTCTTTTAGAGTGTGCATGGATGTGTGTTGCAGGGTGGAGAGGTGGGGAGAAGTGTATAGTCATACATGGGGAAAGAGGGGACATCCATGTCCTTTTGTTGGATACATAGTACAGAAATACATGCCACTCAGTCTTTGTTGGTTCTGAATCTTCCTGAAGTGTACTGACATTTGGGCTGCACACAGCCCCACACCTTCACTTACACCTCCTCTTCTAGAATTGCTTTGCTCTATTTTTGTATATATAAATATGTTATGATAATGATTAATAATGTTAATGATATTGCTGCAAATGGTGCCATATATAAGGTTAAGCTTCTTGGAACATTTATAAACCCAAACCAATACCTGTAACTTCGTATGTTGCTTTCAGATCCTTCCATTTTAAGTAACTTTTTAATCTTACAAGTCTGCTATATTGTACTTTACACTTATCTACCCCTAAAACCTGTGCCCAGTTCTCTGGGTCAAGCTGGATGGTGATGAGTAGCAACACACACTTTTCTGCTTCTGCCTGAAATGTGCTTAGAGCTCAGTTATCTAAGGATTCTCTGACACTAGTGCATTGTTCCTGGAGCTAAAGTTATTCTATGGATGTTTGCTTATTAGTTTCAGGCCCCAAAATAACACAAGCCTCTCCTTCATGATAGCTCCTTGATATCTCAATCTTGCAGTCCTAACTCAGGCAAATTGTGCACTGCCAGGGGGGCCCTGGGTTCTGCCATACACCCAGAGGAGCCTTTCTCAGTGTGTTTCTAAATGGCCTTACAGTTGGTAGAAGAAACTGAAGGGTTACTCAAATGCAGTTGCAATCTGCAATCTGCTGCTGAGTCAGGGCTTTCACTTGTGTCCAAGTTGGCCTGATATGGACTGCATCTGGTTTATGTATAGATGGGTCCTGTTGGGGTATGCGCATGGATGTGTGAGTGAGTGTGCATATGTATCCCTTCTGTGATTTTATATATATATATATATATGTAAATATATATTCACACATCTCTATATATTTTAATGTATTGCACATGTATATTTAAAATATATATGAAAGAACTCTAAATCCTGCAGGGAGGCTCTGTTTTCATTATTTTTGTACTTTGTGTCATGTCCTGTATAAACAAGAATATCTAGAAGTGTTTCCTGCTTAGCATTTTTTTTGCAGTTAAATTATCTGTTAGCCACTAACTCTACTGCTTTCTACATATTGGTTCCTTGATACATTTCATATGGCATCAGCCAAGAGTTTTCCTGTGGTTCCAGCCCATCTTCCCTCATCACAATAGCAATAATAAATACAGTGAACAGCTACATAGTGCTTACTATATGCTAAGCACTATTTTTAGTGTATTACTTATATTAGCTCATTCATTCCTCACAATTCTACAATGTAGGTGTCACTCAAATCTCTATTTTACAGATGAGAAAACTGAAGCACAGAGAGGTTAAGTGACTTGCCAAAGGTAACAGTTGTAAATGGTAGAGCTAAGATTTGAACCTAGGCTGTCTGACTCGCAGGTCCATGCTCCAGAGCAAAATGTAAACCATTCTGGAGTAACAAGCCTCAAATGGTGAATAGTTCTTGCCCTAACTCTGGTTCACCTGCAAATCAGGAGTTAAAACACGTATTCTCCTATATTAAAAGTAAAGCAGTAGTTACAAACATCATATATTAACTGTCTTGGTTCCCAAAATGGTGGCATTACAAACTTCTCCACTATTTCTTTTGAAATCATGCTTGCAGCCAGTTACCATTTCTTAGCTTATGATATAGCGCTATTAAGAATGTATTTTCACTTGTGCCAAAGAGGGTAAGAGTTTCTTAGCCTTATCTTTATTGGCCATGGAGAACTAAATCATTTTTTTTCTGAACAAAGTAGAAACTCTCAAAATATCTTTCTTCTTAAAATAAAAAGGAATTTGATATTACTGAACTCTTCCAAAAGCATGTCTAAGTCAAAATATGTATGTGAATGCACATATGTTCTTTTAGCTTTCATCAGCATAATAGCAGGAAAACTGGTCAAGTCAATAAACGCGGGGAAAAAAATGACTAAACAAGGTATTTTGTAACATGAAAATAAAGCAATGAGTTGGTTGACTGGCTTTTTAAAAATATTTCCGCCACTAATTATGGCATGACATAGTATACTACCTTTTATTTGCATATACAATAGTTCTCTATGTCCTATAGTTCATTATCACATAAAGTGAAAGCGTTAGTGCCCCATTTGGACCTTTGGCCTAAGGTTTGATAAGATTTAGTAGGACTGAAATTCTTGGTCCCTTTATCCTAAGTTAGGCCCATATCCTCATTTTGACCCTCAAAGTTAAGATCATAACACTATCAGTGTTGCCGCTGTTAGAGGCCAGGATGGATAAGATAAGAAAAGGCATTTTGGGAATAACACTGATTATTGTTAGGAATCTTGCTGTCATTACAATTCGAGTTATATATATTAGCTCCCATATGTATTTGTTGGCCAGTCTCCTGAAAATGAGGGTAATTCTAATCCACAAGTTGTCATTCCCAAACTAACATGGCAATCTTTTGATCATACTATGTAATAGTCATGTCTTTGATGGTAAAAGACAGAGATGTCAAGGCTCTGAAAGCTCCCAAGTCCTTAAAGAACTAACTAAACTGGTGAAAACAGAAGTGGCTATGTGGGCAAATATCCTAGCTTTATTAATATAAGGCTTTAACATCAAGCCACATGCGTGTTCTCCTACTGTAACAAGATGTGGTCAACCATACATAAACCCTGAAGAGTCATTTTGAACCTATGTCCTAAGGTCTAAACTAAAAGACATTGTATGACTCCCTTGGCCCTTTTCTCTCTGAGGCTCATACTTTAATACTCATCTTCAAAGTCTTATCACTGTGATAACAAAAAGAAACACTATAAACAAAATCCAAGAAAAGGTATACTCATTTTTTAAAAATGTCTACCAATTATTAAGTTATTCACATATGCATTTCTTTATATAGAAAATTATTTATATTACATGAAATTTTCAAAAGACTGATATTCAGCTTTATAGTCTTTGACAGAAAATCGTGTGTCCTTGGATGGGGATTCACACACCAAGGCTTAACAGAATTAGTTTGGGGATACTTGTTTTTATAACAGAGATTGGTTGGCTTAAACAAATTTACTCTGTGAATTTTTTCTTAATGGTCCCCTTCCAATGGAGGTGAAGGCCTCCTAAGGAGGAGAAGGCCCCAGGCCTTTCTTACATAAACCATATTGAAAGAAAGAGGAAAAAAAGTAATGGGAAGTAATAGTAAATGTGGATCCAGAAAGAAAAATAAAGGTTAAGAAAAATGAGGTATGTGAAAGAAAAAAGCTTTGTAATCAATTTGTTTCTCTCACCTAAAACACCATTTACTAACTACTTGGTTCAGTTGTAACCTTGAATTCCATTTTGTCCTTGAATTATATCAGCTGTCTTCTTTTCCAAACTCCTATAGCTTTTCATCAGGAATGTGGGGGGAAGGAGAAAGGGAGAGAGTGGGAAAAAAAAAGAGAGAGAGGGAGGGAGGGGGAGGGAGAGAGAGGGAA